CAGCAACGGATGGAGAGGAGCCAGGGCTTATGTATATATGTCTGCATACTTGCGGACATAACAATCCCTTCCCGCCTTTTCTTTGTGCGTTCCAAGTCATTTTATTTTTGTTAAATATTTTGCCTCTTTCGCTCCTCTTCTTTTGTCTCGCTCCACGATCATGGGTGGGCGCGCGTATGCGTCGATGCACCGTTGCTTAGCGTGTTGCAGACCCTCCCTCCCGCGTTTCACGTTTGGGGGCGAAGGAGAGGGAGAGGCGGGGACGAGGGCGCGGCGATGCAGCGGGGCAGCCGTCGGTTGCACGCCGTGAACAGGTCGACGGGGCACCGATGGAGCCCCATCCCAAAGCCGCCGCCGCCGCACGTGGATCGGCTCTGCGGGACGCACAGTGTGCTCAACGCCCTCCGGGCCTTTTACAACGCCGCCGGCTGTCGGCATCCGCACCGGCAGAGGCTGCACTGCCTGTTTGTGCGGGACTTTCGCCTGGCCTTGGGCGGCACCGACGCCGATGCGGCCTCCACCCGCGCCGCGGCGGGCGCGGTGGCGGACAACACGAGCATCCAGAGGGCGCGGGAGGAGGAGGGGGAGGAGGTGACGGAGACGGAGAGTCGGGGGAGCCACGGCGACGTGTGGGTGCCCTCGCAGTACCCGAATCTGCAGCGTATTGTGCGCCTCGCGCGCGCGCTGCGCCTCGACGTGAGGGCGGTGGAGCGCTTTGAGTTGGTGCAGCTATGCGGGGAGCGGCGGAACCAGAACGTGGTGCTCGAGCTGGCAAGCTACACGCCGTGGGAGGTCGTGTCGTGTCCGTGGCCCGGCGGCGGCGGCGGCGGCGGCCGCAGTAGCCGTGACGGGGAGGAGCCGCCGTCCGGGCACCCGGGCGGGGACGAGAGTGTGCTCTTCCTCGATCACGTTATTGATCCCGGCAACGTCGGCGCCGTCATGCGGTCGGCGTTTTTTCTCGGTGTGCGGTGCGTTGTGCTGAGCTGCGACAGCGCGGGGTGCAGCGCGGCGGTGGCGCGGGCGAGCGCGGGGCTCATGGAGCACATGGCCGTCTACCGCAGCGTGGTGCCCACCACAACGTTCCTTGCGAACACTATCGCCCAGCACAAGGCCCGCGGCGACCCCTGCAGGCTGGAGATCTACGCCGCCATCACAACGCCACAGCACGCGGCCGTGCAGGATCGACGCCAATCAACTGAAGTGACGGAACGACGAGGAGGGGTAGGCCCAATGCGGCGTCGGCTGCTGTTGCTGGGGAACGAAGACAAGGGCCTGCCACGCGAGGTGGTGCGCCTGTGTTCGCATGCAGTGCACATCCCCTCCCCGCGGCGGCGGCAGCAGCAGCAGCAGCAGCCGCTACCTCGCGCGGGCGTCTCACCGAAGCGGGCGAAGGGGACCGGGCGGAGTGCAGGGGATGCGCTGCAAGACGATGCTGCCGTGCTGCGGCCGCAGGAGGTGTCGCTGAATGTGAGTGCGGCAGCCGCCATCATTCTCGCCGCTCTGCTGGCCGGGGACCGCTCCGTCGAGATTCACCGACTTGGCTGAGAAGACGCAACACACACACACACACACGCACGCACGCTTTTTTTTTTGTCTCTCGGGGGTGAGTGGGTGGTGGGTGGTGGGTGGTGGGGAGGGGGCAGAGCTGGGTAATGCGTGCGGCACTTCTTTTTTGCGTTTTTCCTCCCGTCTTGCTTCTCTGCCACTCCCGGCGGTAGTGTGGCAGCGGCACACACTGCCCTCCATAGGCGTTCCCGGGCGACAACAACAACAGCAGG